CTCTGGACAAGGTTCCAGAGTGTGGACTGAGCGTGCTGCTGAGTGGCTATGTGGTCATCACTTTACTTCCTTTTCTCACCCATAACATGGTGATAATAATTCTACATTGAATGAATCCTTTGTGTCTAGTGAGCATAAAATATGCTCTGTGAAGGTAAGATACTCAGAATGTAAAAAGAAGAGTTTCAGATTCAAGCCTTTTTGTCATCAGTAGGCTGGAAAATGAATAGAAGTTAAAATAAACTATACACTTAATGCGATTTTTCCAACAATTATGTTGAAAAATTATTGTTTAAAAATGCATTCATTCCAATGATCCTTAGCTTTTTATTTATTAAAAGAAGTAAATGTAAATTAGACCTCAAAGTTTTTTTTAACAGGTAACGTTGAAAAGCACCCACAGTCAACAGGTGCTGTTCACTGGTTGATTTTAGATGATGAAAATTGTAGGCCAGGTGCGGTGGCTCACGCCTGTAATCCCAGCACTTTGGGAGGCCGAGACGGGTGGATCACGAGGGCAGGAGATTGAGACCATCCTGGCTAACACGGTGAAGCCCCGTCTCTACTAAAAATACAAAAATTAGCCGGGCATGGCGGCGGGCGCCTGTAGTCCCAGCTACTCGGGAGGCTGAGGCAGGAGAATGGTGTGAACCCGGGAGGCGGAGCTTGCAGTGAGTGGAGATTGCGCCACTGCACTCCAGCCTGGGCAACAGAGCAAGACTCTGTCTCAAAAAAAAAAAAAAAAGAAAAAGAAAATTGTAGAGTAAGTACAATCATAGAGTAAGTATAAGAAGAATTGTATTCAAAGGTATTGTATTATTCTTACAAAGAATTGTATTCTTCTTATACTCTTTTACATTCTTTTTTTCCAACAAGCTACCGTTGATCAGAAAAGAACTGAATTCCAAAAATATACGTAGGGCACTTCCCTATTCTCTCTGTATTTACTTGGAAATGATTCTTAGTTTTTGGCATGGCCACTTTGTTAAGTGAAGAGACTTCCACTTATCTATATGCACATTTTGCAGGTATTTTTAAAAATATGGCTCAATTGTTAAATCATTTTGTTAGTCCCATGACTTATATAAAAATCTGGGGGTTTTTTGCTTGCTCACTCTTAGTTTAGGCTTGGTTTTATGGTGATCTGGGCTCAGGAAGGTAGACATATCAATGTCACTAGCATTGCCAAGGTATAGGCAGTCTGCCGCATGCTGGGTGAATATTAATATTCGGAAGAGATATTTGAGTCCACAAGATTTAAAGATCTTCTCTCCACCCCTGTGCTTGTAGAATTAGGGCTAGATTAGTTTAGCCTGGGCGTCCTGGGTCTTGGTCATTTGAAAATAGCTCCTCAAGTAGGCTGGCTGTGTGTCTTAGTATGGCAGAAACAATTCATTATTCACTCCATGCATCTTCTATTGTATTGTGAAATTACAGATGATAGTTTTCTTGCTTTCTGTTTTTCCAAACAATGCCACCTGGACTTGTGGGTTTTGCTCATATGTTGACTGTTTCTTAATCAAGATAGCTTTAATAGTCTTCACCCCACCCCCATCCTCCAGCTGCCCTTTGGATGTTGCTGTGGAGAAGCCAAGAGAGTTCATTTTTGTTGGGGGCTGGGCTAGGTTGGTAATAATCTGAAGCACCTTGAAAGATTCTGACCTAATCGAGGCATAGGGAAATGATGTGTGTGTAGAAAATTTGGAACTGTGCCAGGCACAAAGTAAATGTCATGTAAACATTGGTTATGAATTGATGAGGAGGAAGGTGTCAGAAAATGAATGCTGTAGAGAAGGCTATAGGGCAGTACGTGGGGAGAGCAGTTACCTGTAGAGATGTGGTTTTGTCAAAGGTGATGGGAAAGGTCTCAGTTTTGAAGGTGATGGGTAAGGTCTTCATTTGAATAAAGATCCACAAGAGGGTATGGGTAGAGGGATGTAGAGGTGTCCAGGTAGCAGAGAAGGAGGTCAGATAGGCAACCTAGGGACTCATGGACAGATGTAGCAAATTGAAGGTTTTTAGAAAACCTACGGGAATTGTTTAATGGAAAATTTCAAACTTAAACATAGAGAGAATAGTACAATGAACAGCCTTCTCCCTTCGTCCAGCTTTGGCAGTTATCAACATGGCCAGTTGTGCTTCATCCATGTTGCCCACTGGCATTATTTTAAAGCAAATTCAAGAAATGCTACCAGTTATTTCTATTTATCATCCCCACTGACATTCTATCAGTTATTTCTAAATACTTCTGTATATATTTCTTAAAAATAGGCACTTAAAACATAACCACAATACTTATCTTTTTTGACCTTGTTTATCATCTGTAAATCTTGGCCTGAGAGCCTTCTTGCAGCACTGGTTTAAAGATAAGCGTGGATAGGCCGGGTGCCGTGGCTCACCTGTAATCCCAGCACTTTGGGAGGCCAAGGCGGGTGGATCACTAGGTCAGGAGTTCGAGACTAGCCTGGCCAACATAGTGAAACCCCGTCTCTACTAAAAATACAAAAAAAAATTAGACGGTCATGGTGGCAGGTGCCTGTAATCCCAGCTACTTGGTAGGCTGAGGCAAGGAGAATTGCTTGAACCTGGGAGGCAGAGGTGGCAGTGAGCCGAGATTGTGCCACTGCACCCCAGCCTGGGTGAAAAGAGTGAAACTCCGT